TTTTCTCTTATTTATTTTTTCAAAATTTCCTTCGAGAAGGAAATTCCATTAAAGCGGAAGCACGGCTGCTGACGATGTGGTTTCGTTTTCTATAATTAGCCATTAAATTTGTTTATTTTAAATATTGGCAAACTGATCAATTGTTTATAATACACGCAAATTTTTATAACACAAAAAATACAAATATAGTTAAAAACGTGTGTTCCACACAGAGACGTCTGCTCAGTTTTTTTTTATACTGAACGGCTCAACAAAGAAATAGGATCAGTTATTGTATAAATTGTAATAAATAATTGTAGTGTTGCATATGCAGTGCATATACTACGCTAGGAGCAATCATGACAACAATAAGTACACTAAATAAGTGTTCCTTCAGGCTTCAATTCTCGTATTTCTTGAAAGTATTTGCTTTTCAAGGAAGTGAGAAGGTACTATTTGACAACTACAAAGTACAAGTACAGTTGTATATAAATACAACAGACATTAATATGGCACCGATTATTCTTTGTATAACCCCAGTTTAATGGTCTGCAAGCCTGAAGTGCGACAATGGGAAACAAAGACAACAGAATCAATTTAAATATTAACTGAATTGATAATGTTGTGTGTGTGCCGTGGAGTGTGGATACAGTTCGTATAGTATTGAACCCAACGATTAAAATTTGCAATGTACACACACCTAAAATGTCGCGGCTTATAAATTTACAAATATATTATTATTTAGCTATTGTCTATTATTATAGTTTACTAAATCTTAGTAAACTATAATGTTTACACAGCAATATTCTTATTCCTACCTCTGTCAATACTCTTATTCCTACCTGATCCTTGCCGTGGAGTTTTGTTTAGGAAAAAGTTTGAAAATGACTCTATAGTTCGCTGACGCTTCATCACGTTTACTTTAGTCTTCGCTCAGTTCCCAGTGTTCCCACACGTGCATGCACGTGAGTGGATTGTGCCTTCGCGTTTCTCGTACGTTTAATTGAATTAATAAGAACGCCCGCCAAAAATTGTTCTCGATCGATCGGTTTTAGATACGTTAGATACTCATACACTACCCATAGTGTCACTTTGTTAAATGTACGGAAAAAAATATAATGGTTACATATCTCAGAAATATATATGAGGTGATTACACTATTTTTGCACTATGTATTTTATCGTTTTTAACAAATATATAAACAAACTCCAAGCCGCTCATAGGCGGTAAACACTGGTGCTGGAGACGGTAAATTTTACCGGTTACCGCCTGATAAGGAGAACCCTGCCTGGAAGTATCACGGGATGTATTCCAAATTTATGGAGTACTTGCGCAAGTTGGTTCTCGTAAGTGATAAATATAGTCCGAATTAGAGATATATAATCGCATTGTTAATTTGTTATAAGCAATATAATTAGAGTTGCACCGCGAATAGGCCAGTGCGGCATTCACATGGTAACATTGGAAATTAGAGGTATACTGTAGTATCACAGCGACATGCTGATAATTAGCTTTTTACTCGGGCTAGCAAAGGTAGACTGAGTTATAAAATGGGTTTGCATTTCGCTGTCATGTCGCAAATTTGCAAAAAAAAACGTGTGGGTGTCACTCATGCCACATACACTGAAAGATGATCTCGCTGTGAATGTAGTTGTGGTATTTGGCAACTATAAATGCAACATCCTATAAGTTGTTCCTTTTTGTGTTGAAAGGTGGGCTTAAATTGGCTATCATACTTGATTTTTAAATCTCAATATTATGCAAATTTGACTAGTTTTTGCAAGTAGTGCTTTGTAAAGCCGAGCACATGTGATTTTGTAGAGGGCCGACTGCAACGTTTGCGGTAAAACTCAGGCAAAATAGCGGATCAAAACAATCTGATCTTATCCGACTACTATCAACTAAGAAAAATCACTGAAAATGACAGGAAAACGTCAGGTATTTGTTAAATAATAATGTCCTTGTGTGCGTCCGACTTAACATGCACCTACTCTAAAAATGCATTGCAGAAAATTGTCTCATTTAACCTCGCCTTTACTCAGTGCTACGTTTAAAAAAAAACACACCTAAATTAAAATGTGCTAAGTGCCAATTTCAGTGTATGACACGGGATGCTAAAACTATACTTGTGTTTCAATGTTTGCATGACATTGACTGGTTGTACAGTACATAATAATCGAAATAGACCTTTCCAGTAATTACGTCACAACTGCATGGAAGTGAGGCTGAGGGGCCAAAGCAAACACGTAATAGCATACGCTTTGGCCCCCTCAGTCTCACTTCCATGCAGTTGTGACATAATTACCGGAAAGATAATAGTTTAATACAAAACAAAAGCTTTTGTTGGGTCTTCCCTGGGCGACATTTTTTGCAAGTGTTTACTGTGATTCAATTTTATATGTTTAATATAATCTATTTAAATATCTTGTAAGATAAACAACGAAATCTAATTTAGTACTATGACATTATCAATTTGGTTTGAGAGAAGGGCAATGAGAAAATGTTATTTGGCAGAACTACAGCGCATTTCTAGCAGTGACATGAACTCAGACGTCTGGCCTCAGCAACATTCAAATGTAAACAAAAGGCCATAAATAGTATCAAATTTCAAACGCATTCAAATGTTCAAATCGCATTTGCAGACGAGTTTTATTACGGTTTTTAGTACTTCAAAGTGTCCTTTTTCCAACTATACTAGTCACTGTATGTAATTAGGTCCCACTTTTAAGAAATTCAATGTAGAAAATAGTAGGCTTTGAAAGCCGTATTTTGACATGGCGCTCTTTGTCGCTAAATATAGTCACATATGCTCTGTAATTGAAAACCTAAGTTAGTTTAGATGAAATTACGATAGTGTTCTGGTGCTGGGTGTGAATATCAGAAATTTTGAACAAAAACATTTGAAATTATGTTTATTTAAATTCAGCCCATTTTTTCGTTTAATTAGCCGGCGAATTTCTCCAGCGACGGTGCAAGACCAAAAAATCGCTAAAACTTTGAAACTAAATATATTTTCAAAATTCCAAACAGCATTTGTTTGTTGTCAAAGTAAAAGTAGTTCACGGTAAAAGTTTCGAAGAAATTTATTTTTCGAGCCCCAAGTCAGTCGGCAGTTTTTAGAGAGACACGCTCTTAAGTGTCAGATGGAGGATGAGAAGAAACAAATCGATGCAAATATTCAATCAAATGATGAGTCAAATGTGGAGAGTATGTCACTTGCAGCTTAGCAGAGTATGGCATTAAAACTCGGTCTTGTTTGCACTAAAAATATACATGAAGGCATGTAAATTAGTTAGGCATTGTTGCACATATTTTATCTTCTCTCTGTTTTTTTTGTAAATAAACATTACCTCAAAAAGACAGGTTAATATGTTACAGCGACATCGTAAAATGTCAATGCAAAGTTTCTCAATAGGCATTTGAGGTGCATCAATCAATTTGCCATCTTTAAAGATTTGGGGCTTAGGAGTCCAACTAAGCACTGGTTCAATTTTAAGTTGTTGCATTGCCCACCCCTCTCCATGGCCATGTTTATCCAAGGGGTACCACCCATGCTTTGGTAGCCCTATCTAGATGTGCTAAATCTTTGATAGCATACAACCAAAATCCTTTGTGGTTTGATTCCCTGCCTTTCCCACAGATAATGTGACACCAAAGGTCCAAGTCCATTGGAATATAGGTAGGTGCCAATTGACGTAAACGTAAAGAAAGAATATGTCAACCAAGTCATCAAAAGCTTTGAAAAAGAACATGTTGTAAATAACATCCCACAAGTACCACCTCAAAGTATAGAATCCAACAAATGGGTAAGATTAATTTATTTTAGAAAATGTGTTCTTTGACTGGAGTTATTTGTCACAACCTTTGGATACCTTTTTAAATCTAGTCAGAAAAATTTTTTTTCCAAATAATCTTTGTTACTTTTAAAAACCCATTAAGCTGCGATGCAGCTGACTTTATTAGTTAACTCTGTCTACACCCTGACTTTATTATCATCAAGGCAGGGATGGGAAAAATATTTTACTTTCTGGGACCGCAAGAGAACGTTGAAAAATTTTCTGCAAATAATCAAGTAAAGCAAACAGGTAACATTAACAAGTTGTCAAACTGAATGTCATGCTATATATTAACAGAAAAAAATCCATGGACTGAGAATCTTATAATAATACTTTCAAGAATATAACATAAAACTAATTTGGGTAACATGCATCAGGGGTCTCATCCTAAGGTAAATTTACAGATGCCAAAAAGTGGGTACTATTAAGGGGCACTACTAGGGGCATCTGGGGCATGCTCCCCCAGAAAATGTTGAAAATCAGGTGTCTCAGATTGGCTAAAAATGAATTTGCCATACCACATTTGTTACATCATTCTATAGTCTATACATTTATACACTATTGCACTATTAAGATGGATGCACTTATAATAATTTGCACTTCTGTGGTCATACCTACAATACAGGTAACATTCTTTCTATTGGATATAATTTTTAATCCCTTTTGTCTAAATTTCTACAATTATTTTTTTCTTTCTTGGAAATATTTTCTGGGAACTCAAAAATATTCTGGGACCAATGGTCCCGTAGTCTGATATTTTTCCCACCCCTGCATCAAGGGAAGAGTCTTGGGCATTAACGGGTTACCTGTCAACATGAGTGTCTTGGGCATAGACAGGTTAATTACAACCACCTAAATCACATACAGCTGTTGCACAAGCAAAGGAACAAGATACAGTGTACAATTACACACATCAAGTCCTTGTTCGTTTACTTTTATGGTTGGATCACAATGATGCCATCAAACTTGGTGATGGTGAGAGGATTTTAAGACTATACAAATTTTTTTGCTTATATTTTAAAGTGAGCAAATGCCCAAAGTATGCCATAGCTGCTCTGCACTTACAGGCACAAGTCAATTGCCTTCTGAGTCCTAGATTGGCTCACTCACTCACATGGAACAGATTTGTGAATCATCAGGGCAAACTAGATACTAACTTCCCTATGGACCTTGATGTGGAACATGACAATAAGGCATTTAAAGCTGATATACACAGTTTCAAAGGGGAAATAACTGACAGGAGTATTTCAAGGGTTAGTCAAGCCACCGAACCAACAGATGCTATTCTGTCTGCATTTGACAAGTGTACAAACATAAGGAAGCCATCAGGCAAGCACACTAACATCTCAAGCAAACACAATGTCATGATGTTGGTTGATCTTCTACAGGAAGAGGAATTATACAAAACAGTTCCTGGAAGAAAATATGTGGCATTCCCAGACATGAAGCATAATGTGCTTGCAGATATTGACGTAGGAGCCTGAGAAGTTGGATTATTAAATGAGTAAAGAAATTTTGGAAAAAACATTTCTACAAAATTTGAACATTTGAAAACTTAAGTATTTCAATTCTAGTTGCTTGTTTTTAACTTGTTTTTAACTTGCCGGGGTATTTTTGTTACTCGGACAGTCACTATATGAGCAGTACACATATAATACTACTCTGTGTTTCATGTTGTTAAACTGTAATTAATAAATGAAATATTTTGTTCCATATTTATGGTTACTCACAAGGGCTTTGTTTCATTTCTTTTTATAGGAAGTAATACCCAGAATAAAATTCTTTATAAATGGCTATATAGACAAAGTAAAATAGTTAGACAGAGTAAAATAGTAAAGTAGGGCGCATCATATGGCATTGCATTGAGGTAGAACGATTAATTTGGCACAATAGGTGAAAACTATAATTGATTTGTACTGTTTAGTATAACCAATTTCTCATATTAATTTTTATATTTGCAATATTATTAATTAGTATTTATTAATATTTATATCTATTTTTTGCATTAAAAAATTAAGAGTGATGAACAACATTGTCTGTCATTTACTATTATTTCATCTAGATTCTAGAATTTCTGCAGGAATACCAAAAATCTTATAGGAAATTAGAATAAATTATTTTCTTATAGGAAATTCCTATAATAATTTGGGACTAGACTTGAGAATTCTTATAGAAATTCTTCCTATTAAATTCTTATAGGAATTCCTGTAGAAAAAATTCCTATAGGAATTTTTCCTATAGGAATTCCTATAGGAAAAATTCCTATAAGAATTTGGGACAAAATTCCTATAGGAATTTTTCCTATAAGAATTCCTACAGGAAATTTTCGTAAGGGATGCACAGTGCATGCATGCCCATGCAAGAGTTAAAGGAAATTGTAGTCTTTGTATTTCAGGAGATGATGGCTTTCCAGGTCTGACTTTAATTCTCGCTAGCACAGGTTGAATGGGAACAACACTGTTTTCTCTTGCAAAACTACTGGAGGACTTTTGAATAGCAGAAATTCCAGCATTTCTGTCATCAAATTTAACAAAAATAGTAGAGGGTTTATTGCTTACACTGTCAACAGCAACTCTGACCACTGTACCTAACTGGCCATTTATTAATCGGTCTATGATATCTACATTATTTGTAAGCATAACTCTTGCATTTTCCTTGATCATAATTTCTGTATCAAGTCCTCCAGTTTGAGATCTACCTTTAGACAATACTCTTTCTATATCCTGTTTTCTAACATGGGGTCAGAATTGATCCACAGCTTTTAATATGTAATGGGGTGATGGAATCTTTTCTAAACGATCAAGGTTATACTCGTCCACAGGTGCATTTTCTGCAAAGATATGTAACGCATCTGATTGATAATTTTCATCATCTGCAGTAATTACTCTAGATTGAATACATGTGATATCATCGTCTGTGTGTGAAGCAGTTCAAACTCTATTCAATAGTTGTGTGAAGTAAATGTCATCTTTTTGTCTCATGATCTGTGTCTCATGATCTTTTTGTCTCATGATCAGCCATTTTAAAGACATGCCATGGATGGCACAAATTAAATACATCATTCTTATAATTTGAAAAGGCAGTTGCACTTTGGATTGGTGGTAACTGAAAAAAGTCACCAACAGCAAGTATACTGATTCCTGCAAAAAGTTCACTACTAGGTGTAACAAATATGTCTTTCAATCTTTGGTGAATATGCAACAGACCAATGTTTGATACCATTGATATTTCATCAATTATTATTAGTTTAAATTCAGCCAAGGATAGTCTCATTTGTGTTCTTTTCTGATCTGACATTACAGGTACACTATTGCCACATTCTCGTGGAATTGCTAGAGCTGCGTGGACAGTTGTTCCACTTATATTAATAGCAGCCACACCAGTTGGAGCCATTAGCAGCACAGAAGGTAATTCAGGATTCAAAGGAGCATGTCTAAATGTTTTTGTAATAGTGTGATGTATAGCTCTGATCAAGTGTGATTTCCCTGCACCTCCACCTCCAGTAACAAAAACATGTATTGGATCTATTTTGCAAGGTTTAAGAGTGTTTAGATTTGCCATTTTATTTCTACACCAGGAAAGAACCAAGTCATACGCATAGTATTGTTCGCTGTTTAATGATCTTACAGTTTTTCGTAGATCATCATCACTGATATCTGAGGGTTGATTGTAGGAAATTATACCAGATGATCGCTGAGCTAATTCAGGATTTGGTTCAAGATGTTGGGGCAATGATTTATTAAATGATTCTGCTTCATTGGCATCATTAGGTAACCTTTGTCGCATCTCTTCATTTTCTTGGTCATTTATTGGATCATATGAGCGAGCTGGCATACCATCAGAGTTTGGTAGAGTTTCTAATGCTTCATTAATAGCATCACTATCTGGCTCAAATATTTCTTTTTTTGCTTTGTACTATCGATTGAATATCTGGCTCATAGAACTTGGAAACATAAGTCTGGTCTGTACCTAGAAGTTCATTTTCATTACGCCATGGGAAATACAACATGAGAAGGTGGTGAAAATATTTTTCAGGCTCTTTACTTTTGTTTGGTGTGTGATATCGCATTACAGCTTTACTTTTCGGCACTTCATAACTTCTTTGCTGCTCATCAGTTTTTTTCGATCAGGAAGTTCTGTGCTACAATTCTCAGTATTTTGACATTCAATGATATCATCACTGAGCACTTCAGGTTGAGAATCAGATACATCATCTATATAAATTTTGTAATCCTTGTAGTAGTTTGTAGAAAATAGTGCCAAACACATATTATTAATGATAGGAATGTTTTTTGGTCTATCACTGTAACAAACAATAATATTAGACTTGAAAATATCTATACTATCATCATCCAACTCATCAAGTTCTTGTTGAGTCTTTGCAACTCTAATGCGATCTTTAGCAAAACCTGTGCTAACAAAGACAGTTTTTGGAAATATTTTTCTTAACCAGAGTTCAGGCATACATCTATAAACGCACTCTTAAGCACTGACTTCACGGGTTGACAGAAAAGCTGCACCTATTTTTCTCAGTCCATCTCTTACACTTAAATTACATTGTTTAGCTTCTTTTGCTGCATTGACAATGGCCTGAGAACATTCGGTTTCATCCTTTGTAAAGTAAGAACAAACATATGTAATACACTTATAATGATTAAACACTGGTTGCAAGTCAACATTTGCAGCAAATCCTTTTAACCCATCAATAAAGTAATTGCTTATAAAGCAACTGTCTAATGGTCATTTGAGGTGCAATTCATAGTCTGAGTCTGCAGATATTGATATTGCCCATTGATAGTCTTGAGTTGTAATACCTATATCATTTAAAATGTCATTTGGAGTTGCATTTGGTTCATAAGTTGATTTGCTTGGATTTAGCACATCATCAATTTTCTGTTTAACTTTACACAATATTTCTTTTCTTCTAGTAAGAATATTTTACTTGATCTCTTCATCCATATCTTCAGATAATAGATCAGCAACAACTGTTTTGTTGGTAAAAAACTGTCCGAAGTTAAATCTACAGGTAACATTCTTATCCTTTCTGCAGGTTTTACTGTGATTATGTCTCTGGTAAGTTTTAACCAAGTCATAGAGTTGAGGATCTATGTTGGTCGATGTAAGCAATGTATTCATCTTTGGTATCATTTGCTAAATTGGGGCAATCAGATGTCCATATTAAGGCATGTAAATGCGGTGAACCTCTCATTTGAAATTCAATACGGAGTGCATAATATACTATCTTTCCAACTGGGTTTGCATTGGTTAGCAAAACTTCCCTAAAAAATGTTTCAACTCTGTACTGAAAATGTTTAGCCACAATAACTGGATTTAAATTAAGCATTGCACATCGTTCATGATAGGACAGAGCCTCTACCTCCTCATCTGTCATGTTACTAGAAAATACATGCATGCAGAAACCCTCGCCTTGCTGACAAAACCATTGTATTTTCCGAACATGAAGTATCTAGAGCAGTTGTCATGGTAACACGATAATTTTTTAAGAATATTCTTACAAATCTCCTAAAAATATCACTTTTAATTACAAAGTTATCAATTTCCCAACATATATATGTTAGGTACGTTATTATACGTAATATAGGCTTCAATTTAAGATAAAATTCAACCACAAACGCTTCGCAAAACGTTTTAAAGTGTTCTTTATAAAACTAAACAGCCTTTTATAATTAAATGGCTTTATCGATAAACTTTGAGTTTGCAATAAAATGATTTCAAATCCTCGCTTGCAAATAACTTCGCTTTCTTTTTTATTTAAAAAATTCAATATAATAAAAAAGGGAATCAATATTAAAGATACACTGAAATTATATGCTGTCTTGTTTAGTTGTTTCATATACGCAAAGGCCGTCGGGTTTGAAATCCATTATAAAATCAATATTTAAAACAAACTTACCTTCGTTAACGTCGGCTCCCTTCCTTTAGCCGATTCTTTCGCCCTTTCTTTATGAGAAAACTTTGAAATTTACAAAATCTTGCAAAAATGCGAACAAAAAATTCATCAATCATCAAATCAAGAAATGTTTGCTATTTCGCTGTCGTCATGCAGTCGTTATAATCCTTATAATGCAAATTTTAAATTGGACCAATCAGTGTCCGCTATTCATGACAGTCCGTCATATATTTCAGATCAGTGAGGATGACCACCCACGGTTGGTCACCCACGCCCGCGATATTTGATGAACTTTAGACTCCGCTAATGCTTTCGTTTCCCCGGGAGTAAATAGCCGGGGGGAATTAGTACCCTTGCACAGCGCTTTGCGCCGCCGGCTCGGGGATTACCATTTGTTTTAGCAATAATCTGAAATAGCTCGGGCCATCTCAAATCTGCACAAGACAATGTCATAAACCATGTTGGTATTCCCAGTTGTTTAACCATTGCTACCACTTCATACATAATTTTTTGCCAGTAAGGAGGTGAGCCAGGAATTTGTCATAAAAACAAATAAGCTTGATCTTGCATAAGCAGATTTTGAAAATCTTGTGTGTTTGATTTGACTTGTGATGCTGTAACTGATAGGCCATCACATCAGGCTAAAAATATGCCTAGAAAGTGACTTTCGTTGAACACATCGGGAGCCTAATGATTTCTTTCATAAAGTAGCAGAGGAGCATGCCAAATTAAATAATAAAAAAAGCCCCCGGTCGTAAGTGTGCACAACAACGAGAAATCAACTATATTCTGGTGATGACATCATCTATAGTTCCGAAAGGTAAAAATGTTCGAATTTTGAAAAATGTTTATTGCCATCAGATTGAGGTGCATAATTGGACAAAAAACTATATTACACTCAAAACTTTCAGTTGTTCGTTACCGAGATATCACGTTCCAAAGTTTTTAAAAAATGCTGAGTCAGCATTTTTGTTTCTCCAGTAAAGCTTATATTGACAGACTGTATGCAGGGAAAGGGCTTATTTTGCACTAGTACCTTAAATTGTGCACCACAGTGTGTGAATTAAAGTGGTGATGCAAGTCAGAAAACTAAAATGCGACTGAAACATTCAAATTGTTTACCCGTCATCTAAAGCCTTTGAAAGAAACCTAGAAGATGAAATCTGTTGCACATGTCGCCAGATTAACTAATTTCACCATGATCAGACAGTTCTTTTGGAGTAGTTCTGATATTACATGGCCACATTTTGCCAATGCATGCTGCACACAAGCAAGCCATGACTTATTATTACTCAACAGGCACATTACTGAACAGGCAATATCACTGAACATCGAAAATCTGCTATTAATTCCACTCTGTAGAATAACTTCTTTACAAGAAATTCATGTAGTAAAGTTATTCATTCAGCTACAGGCAGCCAAGGGTCCATAAGCCACTTCACATTGGCTAGCTTTTTCTTAAGCAATATAGAAGCATGATACAGAATTTGTAGTTTGATCATTCAATATGGACTGTGTAGCGCTGTGATTATCATCATATCCCATGTTGTACAAAACCATTGAAGTTGTTTCACATGATGTCTTATCCTTTCCATACAAATAGTTAGTTATTATGGTACTTAACCTCAATGGCACACGTTGGGGATTTATTGCCTCGAAAATGCTCACTTAAGTGTAACTTTGAGTGCTTTTATCTAATTACCCCGATATTTTATACTTTGACAGATCGTTTTATTCTAAGATATGCTCTCGTTTCACTTTTTCAAATTTTTCAAATTTTGGCAGGAAAATGACGTCATCCTTTTGGCACCAATATTTTGTTTAAGTGTTAAGACTTCCTTAGTTAATTTTTCTAAAGTAATATGTTGTGTAAACTTCAAAACCGAAACAATATTTGAATTATCTTAATTCAATCAAGAGTTATAAAGGATGGAATTTTCAGATTTCGGCCATTTTGGGCTATTTTTAGTAACAAAATGGCTGAATTCTGAAAGTTCCATCCGTTATAACTCTTCATTGTCTTCATAAAGCTGTTTTTCATTTACTGTAGTTTGCAATTGGGATGGCTCAGGGTCACATGTATCTTCACTTGCACTGACAGGATTATTCAAATTAGTTAGTTCTGAGGTGATATTGTCACACTGAATTTGAATATTTTCATACAAAGGGTTGTTTCCTGCAAGCCAATTTAATGTCCTAGTAACAAATTGAGGGCGAACTGCTTGGAAGTAAACATGACCTCTAAACTGAAGTTTCCTTTTTAATTTAAGCAAAATTATCAGCAAAATGATCAGATCTATCAGGTGGTCTAGGTAGAACAGTGCCGGTTTGATTACACTCAACTGGCACATTACATATTGCACCTTTAATTTTTCCTTGTTGTCCTTTAGGCATTATTACGATTTTTTCAAAGACTATTCTCTGTGCAATAAGAATTTGTTCAAGTTTCTCTAATGCAGCAAGTTCAGCAGGGGTTTCATCAACAAATAAATTGTTTACTGCAGCTTGACATGGCAGTTGACTTTTAAGTAATTTAGTATGACATGTTTTACAGATGTACTCATTGCCATCAAAAGAACATTGAACCATAAAACAATTCTGAACAGAATACTTAGTTTTCTTTAGGATAATTACAGACTTTTTATACAATGTTCGGTTACACACACAGCATATGTAAAATGGACCAGCTTTAATTTTTTTTTTTAATTGTTCAATGTACATGTCAATATTGTGAGGTTCAGATTTATTTTGTATTAATTGTTGTTCTTTCTCTCTATTCAGCACACCTTTTTGTTTTGGATCCAATGCCATACGCTCTTCCATAGTTCTATTTGCATTTACAGAAACAAGCTCTTTTTTCATTAATATATCCATTGCATTATATTTTGCTATCCTGTTTCCTAAAAGTTTCTCTTTTTGTTCTTCTCCCATTGTTTGTTTATAATTCATATTTTTAGTAAGCAAGTCCTCTTTTCTTGATTGGTCTAAATCTTGATATTTTGCTCTCCTGTTTTCTGAAAGTTTCTCTTTTTGTTCTTCTCCTCTTGTTTGTTTATAATTTCCATTTTTAGTAAGCAAGTCATCTTTCATTGGATTGGTCTAAATCTTGATATTTTGCTCTCCTGTTTTCTAAATATTTCTCTTTTTGTTTTTCACCCATTGTTTGCCTATAATTCATTTTTTAGTAGGCAAGTCTTCTTTCATGGCCAGTCATAGGCCGTCACATATCTGCTATATCTTTCAAGTTTGTTGCACATGTTGCGAGGCTAAAAAATTCCGCCATAATACAATGCATATTAGTCTCCTTGTTCATGAAATACAAAGCCCCCGTTCACTAGTGTGCACAATTGGTAGAAAATAGACTTGAAACTTTGATAATATTCGATCAATGTTTCGTTTACGCTATCTTGAAATCGCGTGTGTTTCCATGGCAACATAGCTGCCATGCGCGGATAAAAGCAATATGGCGGCTGAAACAAGTTGGTCATTCAAACATTTTAAATTGAATAAATGTTGTATTCATTTTGAGGATGTTTCACAATCACTTCTAAAGGTCACAGAGAAGCGTCTGAAGAGATTTGTTGTTTGTCGTGAGAAATTGGCGAAGCTCAAAGACCAGAAATCTGTCACAATTCGGACTTGTTTACTAGCGAAGATGGGGCCACCACTTAATTATAACCCCCCCCCCCCCTATAGACGAGAGTTTCTGAGGGGGGTTGAAAAAGCTGTTGCTGAGGGGTTGTGTGCATCGGCATACTTTGATCTTTGCGTTTTTCCTGAGGGGTAAGGCAAAAATTTCTTAATTTCTGGGGGGTGTTTGTCTCGGCACTTTGATCTTTTCTTCTTTATAGGGCCTTATATGGGTTCAAATTTTATCGAACTCGTCCATAGGGACGGGGTGTACATTAAGTTTAAAGTGCGGTACAGTCTGTATGTAAACAAAGGCTTTGTTTACATGTTGGTATCCAAAACATTGAATTTCATTCGACAACTATTTATATTTTCATGATTCTAGAGTATAATAAATTATCAAGACACAACAATTATGCTTTTACTGTTTGTATAATAAAAAGAGGGCTCCTTTGTGCACATGCACAGATCGGACTGTACCGCATCTTTAATGTCCAGACCCCCCCCCGTCCTCTTTGCATGAATTTCTCTGAAGGGTGACCCCAAAGTCATTTCTGTGGGGTTAAGCCTGTCGGCATACTTTGATGTTTTTTATTGTTCTGAGGGGTAAGGGAAAATTTACAAATGTCAGAGGGGTTTTGTGTCAGGCTGTCAGCACTTTGATCTTTTTTTCTTGGGAGTTAAAATTTTACTGACCTTATCGATAGGAGGGGGATGTGGATATTAAATAGATAGCCCAATGTAGAAAGGCATTTTTCACGCTCTAACTGATGTGGGGAACTCAAAGGGTGTTTTGGGTGCCCAGAAGCGGCTACCATGACCCCCCCCCCAACAAAAAATGACCATAAACATTTTGCTAGTACATTGGGAAAATTGGCCTGAGCCTCAGTTGTATAGGGTCAGAAAATTTGCAACAGGTGGCCCCCACAAGCAGGAATTGGTGAAATTGTGAAATTCGGACCCCCTTTATAGTAGACATACACAGGGAAAAAATTGTTATTTTTAAGGAATATGGTTTGAAAATTTTTTTTCTTTCAGAACAAGATGATCCATTAAATGATCACCGGTCAGCTGCAAGTGAAACCTGTCTTCAGTCCATCTTGCCAAATTACTCTGTTAACCTCGAAAATGCAGATTGTGATAGTTCATCAGGAAAAGAAGTTTTTAACATTGCACCTGGTGAAGGTAAACACCCTGTATCAATGATGACTGATAAGCTCTGTGAAGAACTTTCATTTCCAGTACTATTTCGTAAATGTTATCTACAAATGAATGTACGATTTCCAAATTAACACAGGAAACTTTGTTCCCCTGTTAAGGTTTTTAGCTAATAATAGCAAAATTTCGCCAAATTACCCTGCTGCAAGTCGAATGCGTTTTTCGCATGATGAATTTCATGCGCCATAATGAAACAGTCTGCCGCTTATTGTAAGGGATATTATATTTCCAATAACAACATTCATTGCGCGTTCAAGCCGATATCTTGAAGCATAGTTAATGCTTGAAGGGAAGTATGCCATGGTGGAAAAGGCAGACTAAACTATACGTGCTATAATTAATTTATAATTGATAATAAATTTATTTATTTATCAGCAGTTCAAAGGTCAGCTGTCACAAATGAAACAATACTTATTGCTATACAAAGAGCCAATTATTACATAAAAACTGAATAGTATACCGACTTCTTTGCATTGTATATTCCAAATTAATCCTGTCGCTCATATATACTATATTTTGATTAATTGATTTAAAGCAAACGCCCGAATTCACTAAAATACTCACACAAGGGGCACATATTCTAACAGACGCATTACTGACAGATCTCGCGTGCAACACACATGCAGGATATTATCCAAGCGTGCACAGACCCAGGCATTAACATGTCTGAGATCAAAGGGAAGACAGCTCTATTTTTTGTATGTGCATGATGTGTCCTTCCAATATGCCAGAGTTTCCACAAGCCGGAAAACTATCTACCACCACCACATGATAGTTAAAAAATCAATTAGGCCAAATTTGTACAGTATATTCTATTGTTATATACCAAGTGTCAAAGTTCAATTTTCCTGTTTTACAATTGGACAAAAGTGTATCATGTGCACCAGTCCACAAAATGTCATGTTTACTGCATTGTTCTGGAATGAGGCAACCAGTCCAAAATCTTACTGAAACACCTGAAAACTTTACTGAAACCTCAGGAAACAGCGAGTTTGGTGGCTCCTCAGCCGTCAATGTTCTTGGCACAACAAAACTCACTATTTCCCTCGGTATCAATAAATAAGTGATAATTATTAACCCAGTAACAACAACCAGTTCTCTACTAATAGTAAAATTGTCTGGCATTAGACAGAGTAAATACTAAAGTAGGGTGCATTGCCCATTTATATGTTGCCTGTTTATATTTGGGCACATTGCCTGTTAATAATAGGTTCAAATGTATTCTATGCTAATAAACCCAATATGATCTTTTGTATCATCCTCGTCCCCAGGCCTAAGCAGCCCTCATACTGGGTACATACAGAGCTGTAACTGACTGTTGTAAACACTGTGGAAGCTTATATTTTCATGTACCGACTTTTTTCACATAACCGGGCAAAAATTTATCAACTGTGCATGCTCGACAAGTTTTAAAGCGAGCTGCCATCCAATCAGATGCAACAAAAAAAGTGGGTACACTAGTTATAACTCTGTGTATGTATCTACTTTGTGTAGTGGCCCTGGTTCAGGCTGTTGAGCAGTTGATTATGATTGGTTCTTTTGTTCTAAAGGAATGTTGCAGGTAGGAAGGAAATGTAGGTTCACACTAAACAATGGCTGGCGAAAAGAGTGGCAAAACTGGTGTTAAGTATCAGTTTTACTTCACAAATTTATATATTGTGGATGCAACGTCTACAAGATGAGTTCCTATGTTGTCTAGCTTTCTTATATGCGATTCCACAAGGCAATTTAAGGGACACACTACAAGGACGATGGCTTTATGTGCAAAGGATAAACCTTTCTCGTGACAGTATGAACACAGTGCCAGAACAATTTTCAATATTAATAGTCAAGTAGGTAATACAGCAAGCACATCTCTTTGCTGCATACAAGTACTAATAGCCTCTTCTTGCTATGGTTTCAAACTCTTTATTGAGGGAATTTTTTTTTTAAGTTGCAGCAAGTGCTTCCTTTATATAAACAGAAATGTCCACTTGCTCTGCCATCTTGAAATATTTTGAGCCTTGTATAAATTTATACCTGTTTTAAAACAGTTTTTTAGCCAATCACATCACTTCTGTTACTGCTAATTACCAATCATGTGCTTGGTACAAATTTTGTACCAAAGGAAGTGAGATTTGCATCGTGTGCCACCAGAGGTTCTCTTCACCTTCCATAAAATAAATACGAGCAGGAATAAGGCGAAAGATACAGAACCTCTGGCAACCAGGGTACTTCAAACTCTGACTTCACTACAAGGTCGTCTTGGTTGGATTTGAATTAAAAAATGGCCCTGTTAATTTTCCAACTTCGTTTGGCCTGCACATACTTGTAGTGGACCCACAGCCTCCTGAACATCATTTCTCACCACTTTGAGGATAGACTTTTTTTATTATGTGTCTAAACCCCAGATCAACCAAGGCACTTTTGAACAACAAACAAAAACGATGCCAAGCATATGCATCAACTCCTGAAGGACTAGCCGCACCCTTGTGTTGTTTGCTGCAATCTTTATTGCCTCGCCACTAATTCTCTCAAATATAATTGGATCATGACATAGTTTGTCAATGTTTGGCACTGTAAGAAGTGTTTCTGTAACAGGATGGGCATGTGCTTGAAAAGTAGGACTTTACGTGTTGTTTTCCATTCAATATCACAGTTTTCATTTTCTCCGACAGGTATTGGCGAATCTATGTTTAACACACCTCTCCTGTTTGCAGTAGAAATCAGACGAACATCTTGTCCTGTCTTTCCTTGCAGCATAAGATGGTTAAATCCTCTCAAGATCTTTTCCAAGTCAATTTCGCCTTTTCCACTTGTAGTTAAATGTTTTTGTATGCATTTTCCATAATTCCATTCTACGTTCTAGACATGTGACATGTTCCTTTGTTTAGCTTTTATTGAGGCTTTTGTAGCAACAGGCTGTGCATGATTGAACATGCTTTTAAAGCAATGCTTTTGTAAAGGGGAATTATCTGCATATGATTGATATATTCTAACCAGTTCTGAAAATTGTTGCTGTTGTTGTTTGTTGGTTGTTGTTAGTAATAGTAATAATATTATTATTAACAATAATAATAATTAACAATTATTCGCCCAGGCTTGGTGATTATAAGGGAATATTCGCTGAGCCAAATAATTGTTTTAGTATTTTTACAACTCTTTTGTGTTTTTGGGACTGAATTTATTTTTATTTCGATTATTTCTTTATCAGTAACTTCCACAAAAGAGATAATCTAATTCTTGCACCTTTTTTCCATGCCCTTTTTTGCACGGCTTTCCCTGTTTTTCTGTCATATCTTTTTTGCATTTTTATGTGAAACAACCTCGTTTTGTTCTTTTTGTCAAGTTTATCAACCTTATCTCCCCTCTGGGATTACCTCTCCCCAGCATCATGCACAATGTGATTTTAAACGGAAACATTTCATTTAGATATTTCTAGGTTCTATGAGATGCCAATTTTTGCACATTCTCAAAATTGCATTACTTTTCATAAGATACAGAGTAAATTTGAGAAGAAATCTTCTTGCTTTGGTAACATGCCATTTATTGTCGATTTCATATTACTTTTCAAAGCGTGGTTCCCAAGTTTGTTGTCAACTTGCAACAAAGTTTGCAAGTTCATTTCAAAGTTCGAACTTTGATTGTAAACAAATGTAAAATTTCATTTATACATTTATTTAAAAAGGCATTTGTCGTCTTGAGAGACCACTGGATCAATATTTTACTGCAGTAATATGTGCCATAGGGCCTTATACAGTAATTTCAACTCGAACTTTGAACATTTGTTTACAATCAAAGTTCGAACTTTGAAATGAACTAACTTGCGAACTTTGTTGCAAAGTTCATTACCCAACTTCCAAACTTGACAACATAATTGGCACATTTGCAATGAAATTGGGAACAGTGTGTTGAAAAGTTACCTGAAATGGATAATAACAGTTGAAAATATTAACTAAATCCATTCTTCTTCAAACCACATATACAAACACTTTATGAGATTTTACATATCAAGTTCCTCCAGCAAACAGTCCTGATGCTAAAGTCGAGACTTTAGTTTAATTTCTCAATGGATTTCAACTTTTTGAAAGTGGTTTTTGTTGTGATTGGGGGTGTGGGCGGTCAATCACTCAAATCGCCCCCCCCCCCTCCTCCCTTGGCTATGCCACTGTGTGGGACACTATTGGAAATCCTACGAACGATTGGCAGCTTTTTGAGCTGGTATACATTTTGCAACGTGGTTTCTAATGACATAAATACTACTACAAGAACTATGCATTAAATTATGAACTAAAATTTTAAAGCAAATCAAAAGTCACACACACTATACACGACAGCATCCGCAAATTAAACTGTATGAATTATATTAAAATATATGCATGTGTGGTTTCCATTTAACAGCAGCCAACAATGAAAATTAGGTTGCATTTTTTTGTCCCAAGTAGAAGATTTCACAAAATCAATCCACTATATTGACTAAAGTCTTACTTGAGAAAATTTGTGGCTTTGGTAGTTTAAAGCAGTTTCCAAATTGCATAAACCTCTATTAAGATACCTGTTGCTGGTACTAAGTTCTCATTGCATGAGGTACTAAGTTCTCATTGCATGAGGATCTCGCACAGCAGGACACTCTTAAGCTTAGCACGTCTAACTTAAGAGCATTTCAATATCCTTGTCAAAGAATGACTCTAGTAGCATGCAACAAAGACTCTAGCAACAACAATGACTCTAGCAACATTTTGATGTGCTTGCAACTTATTTTTTAATGTCATACATGTATCCCATGCAGACTAACTGGCAATAATTGATATATTGCTGAATTAATGATTTATGTGGTGATAGCATACGAGACTAAATGGTTTAAATCTTCTTAATAGTAAGGATTGAATTATCTTGGTGCCATTGCTTAAAATGTTCTCATTACTTTTAGCAGTTAACAAAAAAGGAACTAGGAGTAAAAGTATTGAATCCACACAAATTTTTTGGGGGTTACACTGGATGCCACTATATGCTTTTAGGTCATCGAACAACAGTGCCTTTTTTAAGGAATTTTCACTGGGGGGCAAAACTGGAAAAAAAGGCAGAACGAAAAATATGAGCCGTCGAGGTTTGGCGAACGCGCGAGTCTGAAGAGATTTTGTAAAACTTTAATTTATTAACTTCAGCTATATTTTACTTTAAACAATAACTTCAACTCTTTGTAGCTATAATCGTACAGCTATAACCAGTGGCATACCCAGACATTAAGTTTTTTGGGGGGGGAAACTCATGCACGCCGAAGTGTGAGACCGTGTAGGAGGGTCCGGGGGCAAGCACCCCTGGGAAAATTTTGAAATCTAGGGTTCCTGAATAGCGATTTCAAGCATTTTGGGAGTGAAATCTAGCAGAATTCCGAAGATTATAAAGTACATCGAAGACATGAATTTTTCCAGACATTTCTACTCGGAATTAAATAAATTGAGGTCACCTTGAAAAATAGGAGGAGGGGTCAGTGTCACCTTATTTCCTCTCTGTGATGCTGGGGGGGAATCCCTATGTGATTTTGATCAGAAATGTTGTGATTAAAAATTCTGCTGTATAATACATGTATTTAACAGTAAAAATCTAAACTAAATCTATTCTTCTTGGAAACAGCATTTTATCGGATTGTTTGCATGAAATCTATCGCTATTATGAAATACTCGGTGAAGAACAATATGAATTACACACAAGATGGCTGTGGAGGAGGCTATGGAAGGGCATAATCTCATTATCAAGTAAATCAACTGCAATTCTGACAGCAATCATGAGCAATTCTGCTTTGCACTTCAGGGGCAGACAGAAATGGCTTTACTGGAGGGGCAAATTCTTTCCCTGGGGGGGGGGGGGAATTGATATATAGTTAAAAAAGGCACTGTCGAACAACCATAGATGTGAGTAATCGTTGGTGTGAAAAATCTATAGAAACTGTGGTAAGTGATATTCCACACTTTGTTATTTTAAAAGTATGCACTATTGTACAGTAGTTTTCACAAATAATTTAAAGGAAAATGTATTAACTTAAAAACAATGTTTGCAATATGGTTCACTCCACCCGAGAAAAGTAAAGCTAAAGAAGTTGTAAAACAGGACGAAATCTCTTAGTATTTGATTAAACATTTATTTCTTTTCAATTTGTAATGAGTGTGTTGATTAGTTTTAAAAAGTTACAAAAAAACAATCTACCAAAACAGCAATGGGTTAAATATAACTTCTATATAAACGTTGTTAATGGCTCTTGTTTTTTAAGTTAAGTAAAAACAAAGTTAATATATAACTTTTTTGCAAGCTTACATTGTCAAAATCTGAAGAATCATAGACGGGTTTGGACGCAAATCCAAATTCACCTGTGGGGAATAATTACGAAGTTGATGAACCGATACCAGTCTACATCTACAGACATTACCAACGACCTCATAGTGATAATGAAAATGTTGTAATACCATCTCCAATGATAGAAGAAAAAGATCACAAGGTGTATATTGTTTTTGTTTACTTTCATGAACACAATGTACATTCCTATGAATAGTTAACAAAACTTAATTTAATGAATTTATTGAGCAATCTACATACATACTATATCAGGTACAAAGACAAAACACACGTCACAAATCACAGATTAGTAGATACACTCAAACGGAAAAGCACAAATGGGACACTAAAAGTCCCATGCAAGGTGTTCCCCATAATTAGTTAATTAAATATATACACACATATATATTACTTGTGGTATTAAGTCCTATGGCAAGGACAGTCACGAGTTAATGACCACGTACAAGCCATGTCTATGTCATAAACATTACTAATTAATGTATAGTATCTATGTTTAAGATAGTGTTTAAACAAGTTTGGATTACGGAAAATGTCAGGCGAGACTTCTTGGCATACTATGTTCCAAATCTTTACAACACGATTGTAGTATGAAAACTGGAAAATGTTAGTTTTACAGAGTTTACTCTGAAGGATATATCTTGACATATGGCTCAGTCTAGTACGACCATGGCTCACAAATGACACATAGTTATCAATCTTGACGTCAATGTAACTAAACAATGATTTGAAGAAATACACCAAGTCTCTGACTTCTCGATCATAGGTTAACGGTAGCAGATCTAATGCTAATAACCGTTCTCTGTACGAGAGTTCGCCTCGTTTTGTCATTGTTATCCACCTAGTCGATCTTCTTTGCACTTTTTCAACACATCTTGAAATCTGGATGCTGTTAACTGGCAGCCATACCTCTGTAGCATAACACAGCTGGGACTTGACCAATGATAAATATAAAGTTCGTCTGGCTTTCACGTCCATCAATTTGGTACAAGTTCTTCTAAGTACACCTAATATTTTGTTGGCCTTCGCGACAATGGTGTTCGCGTGAATGTCCCAAGAAAATTTAGATGTGGTGGTAACTCCAAGATCTTTTTCCCTATCTACTCGAGTCAGGTTTTGGCTCCCAAGAGTGTAAGTCATGAATGATAGGATTTTTCTTTCTGGTGACGGTGAGAACTTTGCACTTAGAGACGTTGAAGAGGTTGTTTTCCATAGTCCAGAGATTAAGATTGGATAGGGAGTGTTGTAAAGACACACAATCACGATTACAGGTAATGGTTTTGTGCAGTTTGGTGTCATTTGTCAGAACCATTTCAGCATGAGGTAAGATGGTTCAGGTAATTGTCAATGGAAAAGCTCGAACTGTACATATACGAAAATATTTGTTCTCTCATCATAGACACCTTATGTCAGACCTCACGTTTTCAAGTGACGACAACAAACTCGTTCCAAGAAAAAAACCAAAGCAGTGTGCTGTTTCTCAGTGGAATGGAAACAATTCTGTACAATATAAATGGACAGAAAGTATTGTGAATTGAAGAACAGTGAAAGTGGTAGTCGAATGTCAAAAGTGCGCAATGGAAAACAGTGGAAAAAGGACTTGCAGACTAAGTGGAGTGGTTTTCACGATATAAGGTGTTCTGACTGCTATGGTTCACATGAATGCATTGTGAATAAAAAAAGTCATTTCGACATGAAAACCATGTGCAACACATGCAAGACTCCTGGTAGATATGTACCATGTTATGCCCAACGTTATGTGGCTTTCTTAAGTTGAAAATCATCTCGGCAATCATACGTGTCCACCAAAAGTGCAATTGAACGGCTGAAAGAAGATAGAGAGGCAGCTACAAGAGAACCCAGACCAAACTCCTTCCCAAATACAAAGTAACCTCATAATTTTGCAGATGAGACAAGGTATGTAACTGTGGGCAAGCCTTTGCTATGCACTACAAATGATCCTTTAAGTAATTTTATGGCACATACGTACATCCCCTAGTACAAACAGTTGTGCCACTTTAACAATTTATTTTGCTTTGGATGAAGGAAAGTGTATGTAATCATCACCACTTTGTTTTTTGACGTACTGTCATTATTGTTCATTATTTTGAGCACTTACTGACAGACTACACCCTGGCCATCTTTAACGACACGCCGCAAGCTAGGCTGTAAACCGTCTGCAAAAGGAAATTGCAAAATATAAATGTCAAGTCAAATAAAAGAACCTTCCCACTTCTGCAACTTGTTCTATTTTTCTGTAGCAAATACTTCTTTATCAGCAAATATGGTGGTAGGGTCTGGTAGAATTTCGCTTTCTGTCCTTCATATACATACCTCAATTTGTGTTTCTACAGCACTGAGACTGCTCTTCTTCGTGTTTTTAATGATGTCTTGTATGCCATTGACGATCACCAAGAAGTAGTCTTGGTCCTTCTCGATTTATCTTCAGCATTTGATACCATTGATCACACGTTGTTGTTGGAAAGACTTAGTCACCGTTACGGAATAAATGGCACAGTGCTTGAATGGTTCAAGTCCTATCTTTTGGATCGTACTCAATCTGTAAAAGTCAAAGATGCTTTATCGAATGATAAGAAGCTACTGTTTGGCATCCCCCAGCGATCAGTTTTGGGACCAATCTTCTTTTCCTTATTTTTTGCACCAATGGAAGATGTCATCACCGCCCATGGTTTAAGCTGCATGATTTATGCTGACGACTCCCAGCCCTATGTAATTCTTGATCCCAAGAAAAATCGAGATGCTATGCTTTCTAAGATTGAGTTATGTATAAAAGATATTCTCACTTGGTGTGCAAAAAATGGTCTTACTTGTGATCCTGACAAGACTAAAGTTCTCCATCTCACGTCTCGGTTCACCAAGGATTATGAAGTACCCCTTAAGATAAATGTGAATGACAATATTATTTCTTCTTCACCAAATGCACGTGATCTTGGAGTTACAGTTGATTCCCATCTTAAAATGACGACCCATGTCAATAATGTTTCCAAATCTGCATTCTTTGCACTAAGAAACATTGGTAAGATCCGAAGATATATTAACCAGAACGACTGCGAAAAATTGGTACATGCTTTCATCACATCAAAGCTTGATTCCTGTAATAGTATTCTGTTTGGGCTACCAGCTGTAGAAATTGACAAACTACAACGTGTACAGAACACTGCTGCAAGACTTGTAGTCGGAGGAAAAAAATATGATCACGTCACCCCGATATTGAAACAGCTTCATTGGCTGCCTATAAGGGCCAGAATAGATTTTAAGATTCTGCTTATTACTTACAAGGCCCTTAATAACCAAGCACCGGACTATATAACAGAACTTTTAGATATTTATAGGCCTAAGCGTACTTTGAGATCAACATCACAGAATTTATTAGTTGTTCCGAAATCGAACACTAAGACGTATGGTGAGAGAACATTCCAAGTGAGTGCTCCTAAGCTATGGAACTCTCTAACTGATTACATTCGTCTCTCAAGTTCATTAGGTATTTTTAAAGGCTTAGTAAAGACACATCTTTTTAGGAAATACTTTGACTAGATAGCACGTTTTTATATATTTCAGTAATTGCATACATGTAATATAGTATAAATTATGAGACCCGATCCTTGTAAGAGCATCGAGACTCTGTAGGATGCTCCTAAAACTGTATTATTATTATTATTAATGGATACAACTTTATGTTAATGTTAACAGATTCTTTGCATAAAAGTTGCAAAACTTTCATGTGCATACTATACAAATTTAAAATTACTGACTACAATCAACATTTTGCCACTTTTATGGAAAAAAAATTGACATATATAAAGGAAAGGGGAATTCTACCACAATATTTGGTGATAGAGCAGTAATCGCTACAGAAAAATAGAACAAATTACAGAAATACAAAACAAGTTATGGAAGTGGGAATGTTCTTGTATTTTGACTGTAAGCAGGAGCGAAGTGATTTGTCAATGAGAATCGAAAAATCGCTCCACATCTCTAACTTTTCTCTAATAACTTAATCTAATACATCTAGGCTTACAGAGAAATCCATCTTCTGCAACAATGCTGCCCGTAGACACAAATCTTTTCATAAACAGTTGCTTTGAGCCGGCATATATCCAATACTATTAAGAGATCTCAATCAAAAACAGAGATAGGCATAAAAGTAATATTTCAAATTAGGAATGCTATAAGAAATATAAAGAATATTATAATTATAATAATGTATGATATGAATGTTAAGAGTTTCATTTTTAAGTAAAACCCAACTACATCTATGAATGAATAAAAACAGCAAAACAATTTTGTAAATTTTTACTTCAGAACATATTCCAGCCAAAACAGAATGGCAATAGGTGAATTTACAACTTAACTATCAATATACTCTGTTGCAAGTATCGTTTGGGAAAACATCGAAAAAACTGCCTTAAATATTAGTTGGTAAGAAGTGGATTTCAAATGAAAAACAAAAAGTTAAAACTTCAAATGAGCCACATGGGCACAACTTTGGAGCCGTTGCACATTTTAAACAGTGCACCAACTAACATGATCCCCTACTATGTGTATACAATAAATAACAGATGCAGCAATCCTGAAAAACCATCACTGGTGTCTGAACAAAGAATAATAACCAACTGAGTGAAGAGTTATGCTATTTTGGGTTAGTCTCCCTCACAGCAACCGATTCCATTGGCGAATGATGGAAACAGAAAGAAATTGTCTCAGTCAAGCTCTTTTGGAATTATTTCAACAACATTCTTCGGAAAGTAAGCTGTTTAAAGGATTACGTTTTCAATCCTTGCGGTTGGATTACGGACATAGCGGGATGCAATATGGAAGGACTTAATAGAGTATTTGGCCAGGATGTCTTGAAGAGAGTGAAAACCTGCAAGTTTCATTTTAAGCAGTGTCGGAATCGCCAGACCTACATGTTTCATGAAGAAACAAGAAGGCAGTTTAAAAGTTTATCTGAAGCTCTGCTAGAAGCACAATCTCTGACCAGTTATGAGAAAGTGAAAGAAAACTTTATATCAGAGGAATCAGAATGGACAAGTTTGAAATCATGGTTGGAGTGGTGGAACAAGAGACAGGCATTTATCTTCCTGGCATTCCAGTACACTAAAGATGGCTATAAGATGAATTTAGCTGAGGTAGTCCATGCTAGCTGGGTGAAATGAGACAAGATGAACATGTTTTTGCTCAAAACTCTTATGGCAACTTTTCTGTTTACAAATATCGCGCACGACCCTTATGAAAAAAGTCTATAGGTGGCCTATAGGTTCCTATAGGGAATGTTCCAATTCCCTATAGAAGCCTTTAGGCACCTATAGAGCTCTATAGGCTTATAGGCATCCCTATAGGTCACCTATAGAAAATGTTCCAATTGCCTATAAAAACCTATAGGTTTCCTATAGGCCAGGCCTATAGACTTTTTTTGTTAGGGGAGTGTGTGTTCTAATGTATTGGCACATTGTAAGAATGGCATCTCTCAATTGTCAAGACATTCTTGACCTTATTTTGCTTAGATGGAATTTGTTTGGACGAAGAGCATCTTAGCCTCCATTGGGAGTTGTGTCTGGAGTTTCAAGGCAAGTATTTTGATCCTTTTTAGACATTCTGTTTCAATGTTTTGCTGTTGCCATGAAGTTGTAAATCATTTGCATTTAGTAGCTTCACTAGTATGACCTTGTTTCGCATTTTTTTGTGTTGAATTAGTCCTTCCACACCGAAATTGACAAATATAAATGGTATATATTATATTGTCAATGAAAATTGATGATATTTTATGCATAAAAAAGTAAAAAACCCTGATTCCTAGGCAAAGTAAAATGAGCTTTGAGCACATGTTTGATTGTTTGTCACATACATAATAGACTGGTCAAGTATTTATATATCTTACTAGTTTGGCTCTTGAGTGTATTTTTATTATGATTTCATATAAATTATGTTTTGTTTTATTTGTAGTGACGAAGATATTGATTCTGTTCCTGCTGCTGTTCCTGTTTCAGAGCCTCAGGGAAGTATCCGTTCCAATGAGTTTATACCCAGCCGGCACACGACGTTGTTTTGACATCAAGTCAAGACGTCGATCGACTAAATATTGACATCGTTTTGACATCACCGTCGTAGTGGCAATGTCGCATCAGAGATTGAATTCAAATTAATATACTCGATCTATAAATACTATATTGTGTGAACCCTAGATCGCGGCAAAAGAGATGATCATTTGTCCGGTATAAGACCATGTGTATTTCTAAAATTTGCTTATTCGGAAAGACACTTAATTGGTCCAATTTCTTTGGGCCAAGGTATTAAAAGCCGGACATATAAATTATAGTCGGCTGAGAAATAGTGAAATTTTTAAATGAAATATATTCAGTGGCCTCGGACCTTGGTCATAGATGGGCTTCAATCTTTGACTTCAAACACACAGCATGCAGTATAGTTATCATTCCAGTTTTTCGATAATTGCCAATTGTGAATTGGCCCGTTGGCCATTACACAACATATTTGTAATAATTTGATTACATTGTATACAGGCAAACTGAGTATATTTCTGGGCGCAACTCACACTGATTTTATAGTATGATTGAATGACATTATTGGTCCATAATATGCCCGTTGATATTTCATAAATTTTTGCGGGTAGCCTGAAATGTCAGGCGTTCTAAGGTTCGATAAAAATATAAATTGTTTTACTTAGCAATGGCGCAATGGAAAATTTTGAAATGAAGATTATAATTGTGAATTTTTAATAGTCATTGCATACATGATCGAAGGTCATTCCAAAATTAAACGAGATATGGACATAATTTATTACAAGGATCACACTTTATCCTTCTGTCTTCCACGAGGTCTGCCAAACATATTTACCCAATCGCAAAGCCAGATAGGTGAATATATTTGACTGATAATTACTATGTTGAAATAAGATGCGGAAGCGACAACGTCACAGAACTTCGTTCAACGTCATTGTGAAACACTGTTTATTGTGAATTGTGAAACGCTGTTTATTGTGAATTTGTGATCAGGGAACTATTTCAAGCCAAAGCAATCAACATCATCTGCGGGAAATGGTATGTTTTATACAAATTCTAGTGTTTGTAGAAGTTTATATTTCGCCATTTCCCTCTTCACAACATTTGTTGAAATCATTTGGAATATGTTTCAAATTACATGGTGCGTTATATATTTTTTACTGCGCTGGTATGTAGGCTAGGAAATGCATCTACCAGAAAAATACAAACAGATATTCGCTCGAAAGGTTCCGTTTCGTTTATATATACTTCTGGTAGTTGTATCTCTTACGCAATGCTGTTGTAATTTTGTTGTATAAATATAATATGTATCAGTAGTCTTGCACAAATAGATTTGACACACACTGGCAGTGCATGCTGCTTGTTTTGAGATTCAAAATTATGCGAGCGGCGGAGTCAAGAATATTATTTCCAAAGAAATATTAACCAACATGAAGCTTCAAAGCGAAAATCTATCTCATGAATGATTTTGAAAGTTTGAAAAGGCATAATTTATACTTATAAAACGTGCACCTTGTGTAAATGTTCTGTGGCGCTAGATAGCCCAGAAATCAGTGGTAATAAATTTCTGTTCAATAAAAACTATTTCTTTCTGTATATTTCTGCTTTTACACAGAGCATTTATCAAAACTACTACTCAGTTCCTGACTGCATTGTTCACAAATACCTGTGTATTTATTCAAAATATACAAAAAAATTTTATTCAACAGAAATTTTTTGCCAGTTATTTTTGGGCTACCAGTAGGATGTGGCTTGGTTTCTTGCTGCTGTTATGTTGAGGCCCCAGTTACACAATACCAGATTCGCATCAGAGCAACATCAAACTTTACTACTTCGTGGTGAATTTGGCACTTAAAACTATGTACTATTTAAAACACGAGTAGGAGTGTTTTATCAGATATAAAACGCAAGGCGCAGCCGAGTGTTTTATGTCTGATAAAACACGACAAGTGTTTTGAATAGCTTAAAATACGACTACAAAAGAATACTAATTAGGATGAACCATTATATAATCATACTAATGAGGATGAACAATTATATAATGCCAGATGTTTTATCAGATATAAAGTCACTCCACGTGACATATTATGGCTGACATGATTTGCCACAAGGTTTATGAATTATTAATGAGTATTTTAAGATAATATAACATATTTAAACAAAAAGACTGGAAGACAAGACTGGAAAACACCATAAATTGATGTCGCTGGGGCCTGAGTGGCAAATTTTTGGCTAGGCCAGTGTGAACGCTTTGCTCGAAATCAAACACATGCATGGTCTGCTTTCGTCCATGCTCCAATCGAGCTATCTGGTTAAGCCTATTCAAATCGGTCATATTTTGCAACTCAATCTATTTGATATTTGAATATCTAGTGAACTAATGTTGACAGCAGTGCTTATGGTCTAGAATTTATATTTATTTTTGTGAGTGTGTGCACACAGCACACCAGTCAATATGAAAAATTGCTTGACCAAAATATAGACAACTAGACTGAGGCCTAAATGTTGTGTTGGTTTGGATCAGTACTATTTGGCCTATGCTCACTCCAGAACATGACTAAACTTCACTTGGAAAATAGCCAGCAAAAACTTTCACCTACAAAAAACAGTCTACAAAATTTGACATATTTTCAGAACGTTATTTCGAACCCTGCAGATGCCATTTTGGCACACTATATGACAAGGTCACAACCACCCGGAGAAAATAGGGTCGCATGTCAATGCATCGGAAAAATAATAGGGTGGGCAGAAAAAAATATGGTTGGGTGGGAAACCGGAACCACATGTTTTTTAGGCGCGAGTTGTGAAATATCCAACACTCAAACCAACTTGACCTCAGAGCTTAGTTGGTAGAACATCAATTGGACTAGCAAAGCAAAGACCACAGAATTGATTCCACATAGGTTACATTTGCCAAGCATTTGCATCCAAAAGTAAAATTTGGCTCTCATACTAGAACCACTGGAAATTATCTCTGGGATTTTCAACAAATGGTCAGCAGATTTTACTCGGAAGCTCCAGGATAATTGACTAAATTGAGCCGTTGATCTGGCATACATATGTGCAAGGCTGTCATACTGTGCATACATTTTATTATATAATATCCAAAATTATTTAGTTAATTATCCATTAAGTGGCAGGCTGGCAGCCACTGATCTAATAGTAGACTGGATAAAGCTTCTATAGATGTGAAAAGTGAAGCCTATTTATATATGTGAATTGTCTTCAGCAGACCACAGTACGATACAAATTACTATCAGGTGTATAGAAATGTATGGCTTGCAAACAACATGACTGAAGGTGAATTTTGTCAAATTTGAGATAATGTAAACCTCCAACTATAAGCCCCACCCCCAAATATACCGGTAAGCCACCGCATGTATAAGCCATAGAAATAATAGCCCACCACATGTACTAAAACTCACCTCATTCCAAATATAAGTAGTGAATGAAAGAGAGCCTGCAAGGATCCTTATGATGATTGCGTGCCGCCCTTCAATAGGTCAATTAGTAACAACCAATCAGCGCAGACCGGAAATACACTTCAATATTGTAAACATAAACTAATGAACGTTCAACTCCATTTATATTGTATTCTTTCGTTAGTTTTGTATACAGACTGGCTCGAGGCTGTTATTTCTTTTAAAACCAACAGCCAAGACTTAACGAAGGATACGATAAAGTAAAAAAAAACACGCTGTGCCGAGACTATTGTTGTGTTATGACGTGTCGCAGTATTAGCAAATGACAGAGGCGTATAATTATGGAGTTCTATATATAGGTCCAGTCACATCCTCGTAAACTACTTTTGATTGACATGTATGTTTTTAATTTTCAATCATAATTTGTATCGGTTCTTTTGTTATACGGTATATGACATGAAGTGCCATTATATAGCTACATTAAAACGCAGGTTTCTTCATTACTAGTAATCATGTTTATTTTTCTTAGTTTAACAGCAACATTGTCATTTGTCTTCATTGTATAAAGCTTCATTTTCGTTTGTTTATATACAAAATAACAATAGTTCAATGGACAATAGGGACTCACCGACACACAGACAATTGTATATGAACAATAAAAACTATTCCTATAATTGAACACTTTTTTGTCAGATTTCTTATTTTTTATAATTGATTTTCAAGATTCAGTGTCTTACCCTCGGTCTTAGCAACGTGAAATGTTGCATGCCCGCCATTGTAGTCTTTTTTTCAGTTGACGTTAAACTTATGTGTTAGAAGTTGAAAAAAATTTCCAGTTAGAATTTCTCCGACTCAAAATGGCCTTCATAGACTTGGCCGCTTTTTAGACCGTTTTACTTCTCAGTATTGGCATTATTTACATTTCATTATTTTCATTTCATTATTTTCAATCTGACTTCATATATTATGCAATAAATTGTTTTTGGATATGCGCAGTAAAAGTGCGGAATGCAGAACTGCGGAATTACTTTAAGCTAGCTTGTCGGTTAATATATAGTCGAAGCAGAGTTTTAATTAAAGCTAATGACAGCGTGATAAGCTGTACCGTTATGCAAGGTGACGAAATTATTAAAATTAGCACGCATGAAATGTTGAGTAAGCCTTTTCATTCAAATAGAAATAAACACTCGAAAATAAGATTATTTTATTTTTAGATTTCATTATTATTTTTTTGCAGCTGTAAGCAAAAAAGCTAATCTTCAAGTTTGCACGTCTAAGCATGCAGTAAGTAAACAACTGTCAAGGTGCAAAAAACGAAAGTTAAAAGACCCGAACTCGAACGCGACTGTATTTTCATGACAAACTATGATTCTTTACATTCGTTAAGTACATTTAGCTACCTAGTTCTCTACAAATAAGTTTCATTATAATTCAGTTTACAGTATTCTCAATTTTGGTTGATTAATTTACCTGAAAATAATACTGATCCAATTTTTACAAATGATGCTATTCATGTATTTATTACTTGAGAGTTGAGACTGGCTTCAGCTTTCATAACACACTCTTGTATTTGATATTTGATGTTTATTGAAACTCTCTTGCAGTATATTTACACTGAATTAACGAGTCCAGAGGCAGAGTATTTCTAAGGCTATATTTATATAAATACATACAGCATTAACTTTTTTTTTCAATCGACCTTTTTCACCTGGATCATGATACGAATATTCTACACACACACACACATGGTCGACTAGTTTTGCTTGCTGGGGTTTTGGCTCTCTATAGCCCAGGGTGCATTCCATGTATGTTACGCTGGAGATCTCCAGCGTGGACTTGAAAATGTGGTTGGCATATTGGCGTGAGTTACATATAATTTGATACGTTGGCGTTCAAATTTTCCAGCCTTCTTTGGCTTCCTGGCGTGTAACAGCCTGTGTTGCAGACTTGTAGACTACACAGAGATAGAGTCCGAGTGTAAATAAGTGGCCAACTTTATATGCAACACCACTTGCAAGTTCGCAATAACCTGCTCCGCTGCTCGCAGGCCATAAGTTGTGTAATTACTATTGGGCGAATACTTCATGTATGCTTTAACCTACTACCTTGGACAAAATAATACGCATACATGAAGTAGGAAAGTTTCCAAAATCGTGCGAGAAGCCGAGAATGGCGATAACTTGAGATTCACTTATTCAGAGATGGATAAAGTAATAAAAGAAGATTTAAAACGATCTATAAGCTCTAAGAAGATCAGACGGGAGTCAAAAGGTAAACTTGCTGTTAATCCTGTTATCACGTTTGTGATTTGTGCTCTTTAAATAAAATACTATTGACTTGATTTGAATAATTTATTGAATAAATATGCATATTAAATGCATCAATTAAAGAGTCATTATCAACCACAATGGCAATGCATTTGTTCACATCTTACCTTCGGAAATGACAAATAGCAACAAATAACAATTATAAATATTTCTTTGGTGCAATTTTAGTTAAAAAAGTTAAAATGAGCAAGTATAACTATAGGATGGTAGTAATATATTATGGATTGAAAACCGGAACATCTAGTATTATTCCGCCATTAAAATGGCCGCCAAGCAGGTTTGGGACTTTGGGTGCACAATGCGTTGTGGTTGTCTGCTGGACAATGACTCCAGGGCCGTGCCAATCGGTTTCTGGTTGGGGGGGGTATTCCAAAATGTGGGCCCCCTTCCATTCTAGGCCACCCCAAAATTTTTCCGGAAAGCAAAAATTTTTTCGGACAATGTTTGAATTAATTAAATAGTGCATGTATAAAATTTTATGCAGCATTTAATTGAATTATAATCAAGATCGCTGATACTATCCCTGGACCTAAACTCCAGAGGCAAGGGCAAGACCAGCTTATATAACTTTATTAATATATAAACTGGACCCCATCCCGGGCATGTTTGTTGCTTTCCTTCTTCCATTCCAACATGTATGTAAAAAAGAGAAGAATAACTAGATTAGAAGAGTATATACAGTGTGAGTAAAATTTCTTGATTCCCATTCTTCCATTTTTGAACTTGTAAATCCCCCTCAAAACAACAAATAATTTAATATTGTGTCCTCTTTTCATGTATGCTTTTATATCATATTTAAGATGGATAACAATTGTCATGTCTGTGACACAATAGTTGGGCAAGCTCATCAATGTGCCAAGTGCCACAAGCATGTCCATTTATTCAAGTGTGGAAAACCTATTGGAGAGGAGGGCTATGGACAAAAAGTGATTTGTAACACATGCAACACTGCTGAAGGTATGTTTTCATAATTATTTAATGCAGGAATATATAGAATTAATCTGCACTTAATATAGTGTGTTCTAATTGTCACATAATTGTTTTTAAGTGAAGCTAATACATGTCATTCCAGGAAAACCAAAACGTGATCAGGTAAACTCCACCCAAAAGAGGCAGTTAGTTTGGGATTGGAAAAAAGGATCTCGTGCTGAAAAAGTGGATATTCCAGAGAAGAGGAAAAAAACATTGGTGCAAAAAAAAGACAAAAATGCAGATAAGTACATCTGTCTTCAATGTTTTGAGTTATCCTTACAGGGGAAGCAAGATGAAAAATGTGCGAGCATTTGCAGAATTGATCAATCAAGCATCAAACGCCACAAACATCGATGGCACACCTCACCTAATCCAGAACTATGCAAATTTGTTCCTTCAACAGCACTAGATGTGCAAGAATTAAGAAAGAAATATAAATTTACAGAAAGTGGTGATTTAGTCGAGATGAAAAAAACACTTGAAACTGGGGCTTTGCAATCCAAAGAGGATTTAAATCCTGAAAAGGAATCCTTTCCAAACGAATCTGACCGTTGTTCAGTGTCTACATTTGAGTCATTGTCAATTAACAATTCAGCTATCGAGTCTTTTGATGATTCTCTGTTGGATTCATATCAAGATTTGGAAGAAAAACCTATGTCATCATCCGTTCAGACACAAGAGTTACTGGATACAGAGGTTCATGATGAACAAAGCCTGGATGTGCATAAACCATCAGCCAAGAGCCAATCAACCCTGCTATGTTATTCAACTCCTCAGTCAAATACTTCAAAAGAAGACTTGACCCTTCAACATGTAATGGGCGCTATTTCCAACTTATCCATAAAGATGGACAATATCAGCAAACAACATGCATCTTTGACCGAACTGGCTTTTGAGGACAGTGAAGTAAGAACGTCGGTGAATAAAATACGAGAGGCAAATAATATCGTTGAATTGAATGATGCTTCGCCTCTTCTGCAATGGTTCTACGACGAAATTACGGAAACGGCTGTGTTACGTTGTTTGCCTTGCTCCCAGCTACAACAAGAAGCTAAACCTTCCCTAGCGAAACTGACACCATTGCAGGCTCAGAGGATTTTAAACTCCTCCGGCAGCGGAACTTTGGCAACAGGAATCTTTTTGAAAAAAGATAAAACACAAGCTCTTATAAAAGGTCACAATGGAACATGGTACCATCAAAAAACCGCTTGCATTGAGCATTTGTGTCTTATTGGCTTTGGATCAAAACAACACAAAAGAGCAATGGAGATCTACAAGCAACGGAAACTCTCGGAAGAGAAAAGAGCCACAAGCACGTCAAATATTTTTCGGGCCGCTATTGTCGATATCAAAATGGGAGCAGCTGGAAAACACCTGGAAACATTAGTTTCTTTTTTAGCCTGCTGTTCTGCCAACGTCGGTAGCATTGGACACGGAAGGAATAACTTTAATGACATTCTGTCTTGCCTGGAAAGCACCGTGAATGCGAGAATGAAGAAATGGTTGATGGAACCACTTACTTCCACACTCTTACCGCCCCATTACTGGGCAACTGTCGACAAATCTACACCATCCAGAACAACCAATCAAGCTGTTCTCGTTGTGGCTCGTGACGAGACAGGTACGCCTTGTCCGATTCCAGTTGCAGCGCCAGTAGTATACACTGAATTCCAAGCAGCAACATATGACAAACTTGCAGATATCCTTCTTCAATCTATTGAGGATAACTTTGCTAAAGATGTCATTACAAGACTCTGTGGTGTAGCTACTGATGGTCCTTATTACCAAGCTAGAGCATTTCGTGACCAGCTTGTCCAAAGAAGTTTTGGAATCGAAGCTAAAGATTGTGAGGATATATTCTTGCCAATTACGTGGGACGTGGCACATCTAATCAATTTAGGTGTTCTAGATGTAAAGGCTTCCCAAACGCCAAGTGGTACCCACTTCCAAAAGTTTATTAAGCGCTGTAACGTTTTCAACACTTTACTTGCCAATGGAAAAGGCTTCGCATTTCTTCAAATGGTGGACCAAGACGCAAGAAGACCTGTATCATATGCCACACAGCGTTTACTAGTTCCTCATATGATCAATGGGTCAAAATTGAGAAAAGTTACAATGCCTTCTGCAAGGCATTCGACCTTTTAAACCCACATCGAGATGAAGAAGAAGAAACCCAATATAAGATTTCGGGTTCAGATTTTGTAGCTGATTTGCTGGCTTTTATTGATACATTAGAGCCGATTGTTAATCTCATGCTTCGTGTACAGTCCCTTGACTGCCCAGTGTGGAAGTTGAAGTTGTGGTGGCCAAAAATAAAATCAGAGATGGAAAAAGGTTCCCGTGGAGATCAAGCCTTCTACAAACGGTTGGCATAAGTTAAAAATTTCATCAGACCCGGTGGCCAGTTTAAAGGTGTAGATCTTTTGGAAGGTTGGCTCATAACCAAGATTGATTCCGACCGTGATACTCCGGGCAACTCAGAGAAGCTTTACACATGGAAAATGAGAGGAGAAGAAGATATAGAACGGGATCATAATCAGTTCGCACTGGATCTAATGAATGCTGTGGAGAAAAGAATCAACTCTACAGTTACAAAGCCGTATTTGACAACGCTTGAAATCTTTGATGCTGGTCGCTTAGTGAGCTTACAGTGCGGACGCCGTCAAGATAATGGAAACGTAAAGCTTTCTGTGTCTGAAGGCGAATATGAAAGTTATGGCGCGGAGGAAAGCAAAGCTGTCATGAAGAGTATCTCTAATCTACCCCACATTATCTCCTCCGGTATGGATTTTGACGAACGTTTGGCTCATCGAAACATGTTGCGTATAAAGGAAACTATTTTTGCTGGTGTTTGGAATTGCTTTTGTCCTCTATGGTTCAGAGATGAGCACAATAATCCGTTACCGAAGAAAGATGCCGATCTTATCGAAATCACACCAAGCAATTCAGATACCTTATTTGATGTGATGTACATTCTGAAGTACAGCGATGGCGAAGAGTTTACTGCCCGCTTACACGAGCAAAGCGTTTACTCTTCATTTTACTCCCAAGAAGAGGTGTATTCAATAGCAAAAGCACCTTCATGTGTGATGATTGATGTCGTCCTAGCAAAAGGTGGGCCTGAAGCAATAGCTGAAAGCTATTACAGCGCAATGAGGGCTCAGCAGCAGTAAGGAGGCCAATCAAATGACACGCTTGCTCGCAGAACAAAGTTAAATTGGTGCCTACCATCCCTGAAGAAGTGCGAGAGTATTATCAGAGAAAGTGTTGAATTATATTTGAAGGGCAATGGCCCCAATGGGAAGATAAAAGCGCATCGAATAACAACGTTTCTTTCCTCCAGAGCTAATATGTACAATGTTTCGAAAGTAGTTGATCGTGTCGATAGTGCTACAGGTCGCTGCCCATTCTTAGCAGATATATAACATTGCACCATATTTCTAGAACATGGACGAATAATTACTATGAAATTCACTTACTCGTTACGTTGGCTTGGACACATTAAGGACATTTGAATGGACAAATTTATAAGGACATTTAAATATTACAATTTTTAAATGCACACCGGCGTACCACAGCACGTCTTAAAAGTTTTTTTAGCTCTATTGGCGTAGGGGTAAAACCCTCTTGTTCAATCTCCGGCGTATGATTTATGCGGAATGCACCCTGGTCTATAGCCAAAACACTGCGGAGGCAATTACATGCATATCCAAATTGCAATTTCAATATTTAGAGTGACACTTCCATAGAAATTGCGCAAAAATTCCATAGCAGGGTCTTTTCTAACCATAGATCTTTTGAAGGCGGAGGGGGAGGGGAGGAATTCGCTGCAGTGAAAATATTTTGTTCTGTCTGGAAATAACTAAACACCTCAACACAGATTCACTTCTACTTGTAATGTCTGAAAATACATCGACATGAAGAAACTCAATACAGTGACAATTCAAGCCAATAACATGACTAGCATTTTTAATTAATATTATGGCTCCAGGCTCCTTAAAGTCTGGAGATCTCGCGGCTACTATAGGACAAAGAAACCCAAGACAAAATGTGATGGGTGGGAATAAGGGCGGGTGAAGCCCAGGAGGTAATGTCGGATAGGCGGAGCATAGGCAAGCGGTGGAATATTAAGACAAGGCATAAAAAGCATACGTCCAGCTGGAACTTGCTACATACACTCTCTGATCGAACTGAGTAATGTATTCATGGCGGTCTGACCTTTTATAGCCTGTGTAAGACCGCTGTAAATAGTGTGTAGTATGTGGGACTGAAATTACTGCTATTGTTTTGGGAAATACACTGTACACATAATCTTGATTTGTGAAAATTTGGAATGCTGTAGTATGTACAACATTTGGCAGAATTCATCGCTTATTTTAGTTAAGTTAGATAACTGACCATATGTACATATCAACATATGTAACTAAAATTATTGCCATCGCATTTGGCAATATACTGCGCATGATTTTGATTTGTGGAAGTTAGAGGTTCAGTGCTAATGTAGTAGGATGAGTTTGATAAAATGACGTATCGAAAGTCATAAGAAGAAAATGTTATTGTTATTTCTGTGGTTCGTACAACAATATCAAAAGTCATTATTGTCACATTCCAAACTATTACATGATTCGAGTTTAATCAAAGGCTATATACAGCTTAATCAGCTTAATCTTGACTTTTTTCAATTCCATCCAAAAAAGGTTGCCCACATTTCATCCACATGTTGACGACACGCAACCTTACTATGGTATGCCAGACACACAATTTTTTCCTTCGTTTGACTACCAATGACAGTTTTGTGACTTCAACAACGGTGATGCAGCATAATTTTTGGAAAATTTGATGTTAATTGGTACTTGTTGAAACTCTTGAAGGTTGTCCACAGGTTAGTGAAATGCAATTTTAATTGTTTTTCTGTGTTTAGTCATCAATGAGTGACAGTTCAATGATTCCGATACTGACCAGGTACGAAAATTTTCTTGACAATTCTTTATAAATTGTGGTGACTACAGTGTTGCACAACATTTCGGGAAAAATTTACAGCACCAGGTTCCGTTTTTCACAAACACTTGACTGTTTTTCTTGATTGGATTTGGCATGGCCTCGTTATCTATAAATGAGATAAAGATACATAAGATACGAGAAATATATTACAGCCTAAAACCTAATCTACTGTTCTTCTTTTGAAGCAAAAAACCCCCAAAACATCTTACCTTTACATTGTGTGTGAACATCCAAGAAAACATGCATGGAGAATGGAGATGTCCATGGAGCGCTGGACATGACGTTTGACAGAGAGGTTGGCTTTCATACATAAACTTGGCATTCAAAAGCATAACTTTGGCATCCAATGATATATCTTCAGCATTCAAATACGTAAACGGTCAGAATATAAGTAGAAAAGGCTATTGCTAAAACTTACGTCAAATATTGTAGCGAGGTGACAACAGCATCATGGTCAGAATAGTAAACGCTTACCACAGAGTTATTGAGTATTCTTATAGAAGTTGGTCGTACATACACATGATCTAATAAAGTACCAGCAGAAACAAATGTTGGCTCGGTAACAATTTGAGTGTAATTCAAGGATTCTATTAACAACAGTGGTTGACAATGAATTTCATTTAGGTAGTTAATATTGAAATCACCAAGGATCATGTCAATTCTGGAACTATTAATGATGTATTGCAATGCTTCCATATATTGTGAGACAATGGAGTTGTTCTTTCTATACAACAGAAGAAAAGACCGTGATTCTTGTAGATTGGTGTCGACAAGGTCAAACTTAAGTACATTAAGTATAGGAATGTATTCATAATTTTCCACTTCTAAGTTAGGATTGACACAGATTGCCATGCTGGAGTATTTGTCTGTTGGATGATCTTGACAATAAGTTCTAAACGGTTCTAAATTCTTTTTAATTTCCATGTCTAAGTCGTTAGGTAAAAGTTGTGCTTCAGTAAGTGCCAGTACATCCGAGCTGAATAACTGGGAATGAAACTTAATATCTTCACTATGTTTTCTTAAAGATCTAATATTTAAAAGTGATATTGTTAGAACTGTGTCGTCAGAGTGCTCATCTTTTGATGGAGTGTTAAAGTACAAACTGGAATCTCGAAGTCTCTCGTATTCTTCATTCACTTTGGGATTTACTTTGATATGTTTACTTTTCATTTCTCCAAGTATGTATAAACCTTGTAAAGAGGTTGCACGGCTTAATGCTACATAAATCTGTCCGTAGTTAAAAGATCTTTGTTTTTTTAAGTTCAAGCTGATCACAACTTTTTCAAGAGTAAGCCCCTGAACTTTGTGAACGGTACATGCCCACGAAAGTGCAATAGGAAATTGTATCCTCTGGATTTCAGGTGAAGAAGCTTTACCTGGTCTAACCTTGATTTTTGCAAAAACAGGTTCAATAGGTACTAGATTATTTTGTTTAGCGAACGAGTTGGAACTAGTATTGATTGTTGTTTTTCCAGCTTTTTCATCATCAAAGTTAACATATAAAACATTTGGTTCGTTATTACTGTTAACATCAATTTTAACCACAGTTCCCATTTGTCCATTGATAAGTCGATCTTGTAAATTGATATTCCTCGTAAGCATTACTCTTGCACCTTCTTTAATATGAATTTCACCATCAAGTCCACATGTTTCAGATCGCCCTCTTGCTAAAACTTTATCGATATCTTGCTTTTTGACATTTTTTGGATATAGATCTTTTGCTTTAAGAATATAAAGTTGTTTTTGAATTGTTTCAAGTTTTGCTTCGTTGTGTTCATTAACCGGAGCATTTTCTGCCCAAATGTGAAGTGCATCAGATGGATAGTGAGGATCGGAAGGTGCAATACATCTTGACTGAATTAGTTTGATATCGTCTTCTGTATGGGAGCCTGTTCTTATTCTATTGAGTAATTCAGTGAATGCTTTATCATTTTTTTGCCTCATGATTTCCGTCAGTTCAATAATTTTGAAGAAACTCCATGGATGACAAAGGTTGTGCGCTTCAATTTTAAAATTATCAAAAACTGCTTTCTTTTTTATTGGAGGAAGCTGGTATAGGTCACCAACAGCTATAACACTTATGCCTGCAAATAACTTGGCTGATGAGCAACCAAAGATTTCCTTAAGTCGTTGGTGAATGTGTAACAGACTTGTGTTCCCAACCATAGAAATTTCGTCTACAATTACAAGTTTTAGGTCTTTCAGAGAAAGCCTGTACTGTGTTTTTCTCTGATCAGACATTGCAGGAAGGTAATCTCCAGTATCTTTAGGAATAGCAACTGCGGTATTTACTGTAGTTCCATCAATATTTATTGGTAATTCAGGATTAAAAGGAGGATGTCTAAACGTTTTAACTGCTGTATGGTATATTGTTTTAATCAAATGACTTTTACCTGCACCACCGCCTCCAGTGAGGAAAAGATAAATTGGTTCAACTTCAACAGGTTTCAAGCTATTCATGTTTTTTATTAATCTTCTGCACCAAGAAAGAACTATGTCATATGCACATCGTTGTTTTGGGTTCAACAATCTTACTGACTTGCACAATTCATCGTCAGAAATTTCAGATGGTTGGTTGTGGTACGTAATTGTACCTGTAGAAGGTTCCTTCGATTGTGTAGGGTCTAGATCAGAAGGTTGTTGTTCATTAAATGACTCGTTAGGATCTGAATCATTTGGTAATTCGTCTTGTACATTTGAATTTTCCTGATCATTCATGCAATCAAACGAATGACCATTTTTTACTGGATTATTTCTCATTGCTTCTAGTGCTACAGTTATAGCATCAGCATTAGGTTCAAACATTGCTCTGTTTTGTTCAACAATAGCTTGTACTTCAGGTTCGTAAAATTTCGATGTATACGTTTGATCTGAACTTAAAAGCTCGCTTTCCTCTCTCCATGGTAAATACAACATGAGCAAATGATGGAAATATAATTCTGGTTCTTTTGTTTTGCTTGGTGTGTGATATCGTATAACAGCCTGAACCTTTCTACATTTCATGTATTCATTTTTGTTCAGCAGTTTAATTTTAGCAGGTAGACGATCTTCTGAATGTTCCATGGAATGATGAGACTCAAGCAGTTCATCATTTAAAACGTCAGGTTGAGAGTCCTTTGTGTCTGCATCATCTGTTCTGTAATCCTTATAATAGTATGCAGCAAATTTTGCTAGACATAATTTATCAACACAAGGAATTCCTCTTGGTCTTAGACTATAACGTTCAATTATGTTCGATTTATATATATCGGTGCTGTCGTCATCAAGTTCATCAAGTTCATTTTGAGTTTTGGTTACACGTATTCTTTTCTCTGGTAAATCTGTGCTTACAAAGACTGTTTTAGGAAATATTTTTCTTAACCACAGTTCAGGCATACATCTATACACACATTCTTGCGAGCTAACTTCTCTTGTAGAAAGAAAAGCCGCACCAATTTTTTTTAATCCATCTCTGATATTCATGTTAGACGATCTAGCTTCCTTTGCTGCATTAGCTATAGCCTGAGAACATTCAGTTTCATCTTTTGTGAAGTAGGAGCATACATATGTTATACATTTGTAGTGATTAAAGACAGGTTGTAAGTCAACATTTGCTGCAAATCCCTTAATACCAGCAACAAAGTAATTGTTAATAAAACAACTGTGCACTGGTTGTTTAAGATGCAAATCAAAATCAGAATCTGAAGAAATCGAGAGAGCCCAGTAATAGCCATTTTCAGTAACACCAACAGAATCAAATATATGTTTCTCAGTAGCAGTACCATCATAGTTTTCTTTTGATGGATTTAATACTTCATCAATTTTCTGTTTAACTTTAGATAAGATTTCTTTATGTCTATTTAGCACATTTTTCTTAATCTCTTCATCCATGTTCTCATCAAGAGGTTCAGCTATAATAGTTCTTTTGGTAAAAAACTGTCCAAAATTAAACCGACATGGTATGTTTTTATATTTCCTACAGGTTTTTGAATGGTTATGTCTTTGATATGTCTTGACTAACTCGTGTAATTCTGGTTCATGGTTTTCACTTGGGAGGTTAGCTTGCACGTGCTCATCAATAAACTCAACGTAAGCATCCTTGGTGTCACAAGTTAGTTTCGGACAATCAGCTGTCCATATCAATGCATGTAACTGGGGAGATCCCCTCATTTGAAATTCAATGCGAAGAGCGTAATATATTACTTTGCCAATTGGATTGCTTTTGCTGAGAAGGACTTCACTAAAAAATGTTTCCACTCTGTGTTGAAAATGCTTTGCCGTTACAACAGGATTAGCATTTAGCATTTGACACCTTTCAACATAAGATAAAGCTTCAACTTGTTCTTCAGTTATGTCTCTACCCTGTGTTCTAGCTACAATTTGAAAAAACTCGGGCCACCTTAAGTCAGCACATGACAACGTCATAAACCATGTTGGAATACCAAGTTGTTTTACCATTGCAATCACTTCATACATAAATTTTTGCCAGTACGGTGGCGTACCTGGAATTTGCCTTAGAAATAAGTATGCTTGATCTTGACAAACCGTAGCTTTAAGTTTGTTTACATCTGACTTTATCTGGGATGCAGTAACGGATTGGCCTTGGACCTTTTTTAAAGCAATGTTAATACTATCAGCAACTAGTTTTCTTCTCTTCAAGTAAAAATTGTGCAAAAAATAGATATTCTGAATTCGAAGCAAACCTCCCACTGTAATGTAGAAGACGAGCATTGAAGTATTTCACAGGGGATAATTTAATTTTTCTTTCCTCGGTGTAGCCAAAGCGTCCTTCAGGAAATAATACTGGGAAGGCAAGTTGTTCACATTTTTTGTCAGTCATTATGGATGCAGGATGTCTATTTTCACCAGGAGCAATATCATATATTTCGTTACCTAGTGAACCACTTTGTTGTAAAGTAACAGGGTAGTCTGGTAACACTGACTGCAAACATGTTTCATTTGTTACTTGTTGATGTGTATTTAAAGGATCGTCATTTTCTTCCAAAGCGTCATCTTCATTTGTTGGTAATTTTTCAGAGGATGTATCGGTATCTGTTGATGCATCATGCTGTAAGGTTTTAGGATCCTCACTGATATTACTCATGTCAGTAGTTACATAATTATACAATGCATTATTTTGTATTAACTAATTCAATGCACTTTCAACTAGTTGAGGACGGACTGCTTGAAAATATACATGACCTCTGAATTCAAGTTTGCGTTTAAGTTTCAACATTATTATACCTGACCTTGCCGGTGGTCTTGGTAAAATTTTGCATGTTTGATCACAATTTACTGGTACATTACATATTGCTCCTGAAACTTTTTTCTGCTGTCCTTTTGGCATAACAATTATCTTTTCAAATACAATTCTTTGTGCGACCAGAATTTGTTCCAGTTTTTCTAGAAGCGCAAGCTCTGGTGGAATTTCATCAACAGACATATTGTTGTAAACTGCTTGGCAGGGAATTTTACCTTTAACAACCTTTGAAAGACATGTTATACAAACATATTCTTTATTATCGAATGAACTTGTGTTGGTGAATACAGATTTTGGGACAGAACTGTAATATATTTTTTCTACCAATCTAACTGACTTTCTATACAACAGACGGTTGCAAACGGAACATACATAATAAGGTCCTTCTTTTATTCTACTGTGAAACTTTGATATGTAATAATTCAGATCATGCTGTTTTTTAACGTTTTGTGGTGAATTTGTCCCATCATATTTACGTTTCATATTTTCTCTGTTTCTCTTACGATATGTGTCTTTTTCACTTGTACACATTGCTTTAAAACTCGTTGCTCGCTTTTCACCAAAAACATTTTTTTGAAAGGGATCCATTTCCTTGTATTTACGCACTTTAGATTCATTAAGAATTTTTTTTTTCATAGGATCCATTTGTTTGAATTTTAGTAATTTAGATTGATTAAGAACTTTCTTTTTGATAGGATCCATTTGTTTGTATTTAATTACTTTAGTTTCATTGATAACTTTCTTTTTGAGGGGATACATAAACTTTTTATAATTCCTTTTCTTAGTTTCCCGTATTTTTTCGTTTTGCTCGTTGGACTTATGGTTTCGTAAGACTTTTTGCTTTTCTGACCTTGTTACTGAGCAAGGAATTGACAAAAATTGAAGCATATACTCAGTTTCTTCAAGATCTGGTTTGTTCAAATTAAGATATTCGCACAGTCTAACAGAGCGGGAGTCAGGTAGTTCCTTAAATAGATTAACCTCACAGCTTTCATCAGCTGCTAGTAAAAAATACTTTGTTCTCTTACTTGTCTTAACACACTTTCTATTCTGGATTATACAAGCTAAAGAACTATTTTCAAAGCATATTAAGAATCCTGCATTGTTCATAGTGTTACAGGAGATTACTACTGCCAAGGCATCCTTACTGGATGTAGAAATGCAATGCAGCGTTCCTTCATGTCTGGATGTATAAACTATATCAAATGTTTTACCACAAATTTCTGTACTTTTGGGCAAATAAGTTGATAGCAAGGGATTTATGTTGCTGACTTTATCAAACAATTCTATAGCATGCTCAGCAATTGCAATTTGCATTTGATCATTCCAATAATTACAAGCCTTTATTGTTGGGAAACAAATTGCATAGAGAAAGACATAATACCTTTGAGCAATTTTATAATTAAGATTGTCATTCATTGATTCATTTTCTATTATTGGTGATGAGCAGTTTATTTTTGTGTCACTATCACTGCCACTATAAGGCATACCATTGTTTGTATCTACATTTTGTAAGATTTCATTGCATACATAATTACTTTAACACCTTTTACTTCAAATATAGCACCTGGCCTGTATAACTGTTTAAAATACCCAGTCAAGTCACTTATTGAATCAAATTCTAACAAAACACATGTTCCATGGGGATGAGGCATACCAAAAGAGTCTCTAGCATGAGAATCAAATACCTTCAACAAACCATTAGAGTCAGTAAAGATAGATACAGTGTTGTATTCAACAGTTAAAAGAAATAAACTAAACATTTCTTGCTGTAGTCGTTCCAAAGCCGAATCTAAAGGCATGACAAATGGTATATTATCATTCACAACAGAAACATGAAGGTTCCCAGTGTAACTTTGACTGAACTCAAGTGAGTAATCACTATCCTCAACTGTAACCATTGTGGGCAATTCTTCAAGTATAGTAAATATCTTTGTTTTGATAATCTTGATAATGCAGAATATAACTGATTGCCAAGATTCATAATGTTAACCAGGTCACTTGCTTGAAGTACTGAGTTGTTCCGATATACATAAATCAGGCTACATAAACTCATTGGTACACATTGACGACCAGCATTTTCACCAAAGATATCAACACTTCCTTGACTATACGGTGCATGAATAGTTCTCATCGGATTATTAAAGGTAGGACCAGGATTAACTTCAATATCTCCACAAAGGGTAAGCTTGCAGTAATTTACTTTGTAGTTGTGGTTTGAATCTTTGTAGATTATTTTTTTTGTTTTATTAACTGTTTTTAGGTTGTTGTAAAATTGTTTTTTCATGTGAGGTTTGCATTTAGACTTCACATGTCCTGCTGATCTAACTGAATCTGACTTTTTACAATTTAGTCTTGTTTTAATGAACTCGTGAAAACAATTGTTGCTCACAACTCTCTGATATTCATGACTGGAAGCTTGTGCATAGCAATGGATGCAAGATGAAGCTGAAACATTTCTTTTGATTTCTTTTCTAACAGCTCTTCTCAATTTTCTACTTTTTGTCAACAGGCGACAAACTTTCTTAGCTGGGACTCTACTTGGTGCTCGATCACGACGTTGTTTGTAACTTAAAAAAGTACTATATTGATACTTTTCATCATTATTAGTTCTACTATTCATAGTTATCATACACTTTGCTGTCATACACTTAGCATCATATACTTTTCCAGATATAACTTTTGTATTTATGCGTATAACTTCATGATTCATAGCATTCAAAGGTAAGTTGGCATTCATGGCATTCAAAGTTAAATTGGCATTCATGGCATTCAAAGTTAATTTGGCATTCAAAGACAAGTTGGTGTTCATAGCATTCAAAGATAAGTTGGCATTCATGGCATTCAAAGGAGCAATGGCATTTACACACGTCTTTGAATTTTCATAAGAAAGTGCCATAACCTATAAGAGACAGAAATAGGATATTAATTCTGACACACCAATTCTGTTTGACCCATCATTGTAATAATAGAGGCGCAAAAAGCATCTTTGAGTGGCTTGGAAGGTACCCTTACAAAACCAAATTATATGGGACATATATGGACCAACTATGGGATTGATATGGTTCAACCTATGGGCCATATATGGGAAGTATATGGCTTTGGTGTGGCCTGGTTGCCTTCGTAGCATACCCATATCATGTTTTTTATATGGGTTTGATACGTATTTGGTACAAATCCATACATATCCCATATGACTTACTATGGGAAATACATGGGTTGCTTATACCATTTCATAACAACTTTGCTATGGGTAAGATAGGATTCTATATGGGAATGATCTGGGAACGTGATATGGAATTCTATGGTTCTTGATGTATAAACTATGGGATTGATATGGTTCAACCTATGGGCCATATATGGGAAGTATATGGCTTTGGTGTGGCCTGGTTGCCTTCATAGCATAGCCATATCATGTTTTTGATACGTATTTGGTACAAATCCATACATATCCCATATCACTTACTATGCGAAATACATGGGTTCCTTATATCATTTCATAACAACTTTGCTATGGGTAAGATAGGATTCTATATGGGAATGATCTGGGAACATGATATGGAATTCATATGGTTCTTGATGTATAAACTATGGGAATGATAT